GCGGTTTGAGCGGTTTTCCAGCAAGATTTGAGCGGTTTGAGCGGTTTGGGCGGTTTGGGCGGTTTTTTTGGAAAAAACCGCTCAAACCGCTCAAATCTTGCTTAAAAAACCGCTCAAAAACCGCTCATTTCTTGCGGTGATTTTTGAACGGTTTTTCAAGCAAGATTTGAGCGGTTTTTGAGCGGTTTTTGAGCGGTCTTCCTGGGTCGAGGTCCCAGACTCCCCCCGCTCCAACTTACCCCCCCCCCCCCGCCAACGTACTCACCCCCCCCCCCCCCCCCTCCCAACGTTCCCCCTCAACGTATCCAACATCCAACAAACCCCCCCTCAACGTACCCTCCCCCCCTCAACGTACATCTAACTCTAGTAAGGGACATCAACTCTAGTAAGAGGTGAGGGGGGACATCAACTCCAGTAAGAGGTGGGGGGGGGGGGGGTGGGTTGGTGTGCGATCTTATAATCGATTATTTTTGTTATTTTGTAGAAACTGACAATAAAAATCCTGACAGTATATTTGTTGTGTATGTCTAAAACATTGAACATATTCAGTAGAACAAATACAGCGAATATGAAGCTTCCAGCAAGTCAGCATAGACTAACGGAAAAGGCGTCTGACTTCGAATCAGAAGATTGCGGTTTCGAATCCCCCCGTGGTCGACTTTTTATTATTAAATCTTGCGCGGTTTTTGAGCGGTTTTTTTAGATAAACCGCTCAAAACCGTTCAAATCTTGCGCGGTTTTTGAGCAATTTTTTTAGATAAACCGTTCAAAAACCGCTCAAACCGCTCATTTTGAAGCAAGATTTTGAGCGTAATTGTCTAAAAAAACCGCTCAAACCGCTCAAATCTTGCTTCAAATTAGGTGAAAAATCTCGACTCGGGTAATAGTTTCGCAGAAAATTCAGACCACCAACATTCACATTTTTTTAACCCAGAATCAAAGCAAAGCTTCGCGCCATTTGCGATGCATCACAAACAGCATGACAGTCTAACCGACAGAAAGTGAAGCAAAGGCTGCATAAAAACTTCCAAGAAAAGTGTTCTGACTTTTGTCTTGCTTCTGTCTTCAATTAAGATAATTTCAAGAAACATGTCATACCTGCAGAAAAAAGGTATCGTTCTATGATACGATTTGAGACATAAGCTATGGTTAATACAGATAAG